TCACAAATGTATTTTAATATCTTACTAATTGTATCTAATACCAGCCTTGATGTTATGATGATTACGTAAAATGTTCCTGTGACAGCATGACTCTTTAATATTAACTAAAGCAATGTAAACAGCAAGGGAGTTGTCCTTGCCAGACCACGTCCCCTCATGCTTTGCACCACCGGTTTTACTGACCATTACATAATTCACTGAAATGTGCTCTCTGCTCTTTTAAATCCTCACTTCATCGTAGGAGCCCATCATTAAGTTCTTTGTTCAAGAATTTGGTAGAATTTTGTCTTCTTTCACTAAGTTTCAGGTACAGTTTTCTCATTTGAGTTTCAAATTTTGCTGTGTTATCAGGCAAACCCGATACTCTCTACAGACTGTTCCTGAACTAAACGACATATCGCTTAGGAGAGAAACAGCACTATTTCTGATAGGAGTCATTCTCTCTTTGCAGGTGGAAAGTTCGAAGGCAAAACTACCCCACGGAGGCACCTTAACCGGGTCGGCTTCGTCTCCACTGTGTGAGGACGGAGATGTGGACCCGGAACCGATGTAAAACTTGATCTTAAGATCCTGTTCAAATACATTCTCCACTGGATCAGCCTAGAAAAACAAGTTTGGGGAAACAAAAATTCAAGCCATCACTGTATAGAATTCAGGACTCTCGATGGAAGTCATGAACATTACTGTGTTTCTTAATAATGGGTGGCAAACACTGTATAGCACAGGGAAATACACACAAAATGTTATGATAAATCACAGAGAAAAAAATGTGACAATGAGTGTGTATATGTCCATGAATGACTGAAAAATTGTGCTGAACACTGGAATTTGACACAACATTGTAAAATGATTATAAATCAATAAAAAATGTTAAAAAAAATAATGGGTGGCAAAACTATAATTTTAGGATTTTTGTCAGAAGAGTGTCAAAATGCAAGACGGTGGCCACGACACTACAGAAGCAGGTGCAGCTGCTCCTGCCTGCACCTCTGAGCGACTCTCTTCAGCGCGTGCTGTTTCTCATTCATCACTCCATCCTGTGTGGCATACCATGGAGACAGGAGGACGGGGGCAGGGCACAGCCATTAAAAGAATGACAAAGCTGTTGAGGAAATGGGATGGAATAATTTGTTCTTCAAAAGCATTTTTAGTTTCTTGGCCTTCTGCATTTTCCTATAAATTGCAAATTCCATGAAAAAAATTAGTATTTTTATTGAGATTATATTGAATCTTGATATATTGTATCGAGTCTTCAATCTTGATGGAATCTTGATTGAACTGATATACTATCAGTTAAGGGAGAATTAATACATTTATAATATTGAGCCTTTCATCTGGAATTTGAGTGTTACTCCCTATTTAATTTAGGCCTTTTCAAATGTCCCTCTTTAAATTTTATAATATTTCTTCCTAGAGAATTCATTTAGCTATTGTTAGTTTTATTTCTAAATACTTGATTTGTTATGCTATTGTAAATGGTGTTTTGTTTAAAAAGGTAATTACCTACTATTTCTTCTTGGCATATAGAAATGCATTTGGTTACAGTTCATTGACATGATATATATTTATTTCTATGTATTGACATTGTAGTCAATGTATTTTGCATATACGATATACTCTGTATACTGATTTTTGTGTATTGACATAATAGTCAAGCACCTTGCTAAACTCTGTTAATTCTAATAATCATTTGAAAAGGCCCTCCATTTCATCTTGAATAGAAATAGTCATAGTAGGCCTATTTGTCTTGTTCGTAGACATAAAAATGGAGAATTTTCAGTATTTCACCATTAATTACACTGTTTGCTATGGATTTTGTTTCCAGTACCTTCCATCAGATTAAGAAAGTTCTATTTCCGGCTTGGGAAGAGGGGCTTTGCTTTTGGTTTTGTACCATAAAAGGCTTTTGAATTTTATCAGATGTTCTCATGCTTTTATTGAAGTTATATGTTTTTTATTTTTTAATCTGTTAGTATGTTATGCTGATTCATTTTCTTGAGGCAAACTTCACATATCTGGGATCATACCAAACTGGTCATGCTATATTATATTTTTTATATACAACTGGGTTCCATTTAGCAACTTTTTTTTTCCCACAGTTTTTCCTATTATCTTTTATTTCAACCTAATCCTATTAAATATCACAAAAGAGAAATAACAAATACAAACTCCATTTAAACGCACTAGGATGTATTTAAACATATCTTCCAACCAGCAAAAATAAAAACAAAACTCTCGATTTTTTCTGTGTTTTTCAAACCTATAAAATAGTAAATGTTATTTCAATTTACCTTCCAGTACATTAAAATAATAATGGTACAAGAAAAATAATAATAATGATGTTACAAGAGAATAAAGCACTGCAACTGGATAAAAAGTTTAAATTTACGGTAAAATCCTTGGAAAACAGATTTCGATCTTGAGAGGGAAGGGTCCCCTCTAGAGACAGAAGCATTACGTCGCCCATTCACTTGTTGGTCTAGTCCGTGGTACCATGATGCAGATTAAACTGATCAAACTACCCAGGCCGCGCTGATTTTGAATCAACGGCTGTGGTCACTGCTGAGCAAGACGGATTTGCTCACTAGCCCCATCCTGTGCTTCGATAACCCACCGGCTAGACTCAGGAACCAAAGGCCAAACTCTTGATTAGCGGTACTAGGAGTTAAACTAGACCCCGCCATGGTCAACTTTTCAAAGCGGTTAAATAAAAATAAGCATTCAGATTAAGTCAGATCAACAAATAACAAGTAAAACTCAAGATCAGTGCCACAATCTGTAACAAACTGCGTAACAAACATGTATACCACTGAGAATTATTTTTCCTATTAAGGCAAGTTTTCTTTTTCTTAACATATAAATTATTTCATGTTTATAGTTTAAAAATGTAATTTCTAACCATGTTTAATTTATAGCAAATCTCAGTTATGAGGGGAGTCAGCACATAACTTAAAAAAGACATTTGTCTGCATTTTTAAACTCTTTTCACTCTTCCTGTGTCTATTTCCAGAGCTGTTTCTTGGTGGGTGTAAACAAGAGCATATCCAGGGAACTGGTAAAATAGTCTATTTCAGAGCACACAGGAATTGAGACATTTTCCCCTCACTTTATCTTCCTTGCCTGTTCTTCACCAGCAGGACTACTCAAAAGGTAAATATAATTTACAATTTGACAGACAAGGAAATAGAGGCATCAAAGGGTATTTAATTTAAGGGCTTCTCATAAACATTCTGGGAGACAGTGACGAAGCATCAGAGTTAGAGAAGTCCCACGTAGGAGGTTCATCTGGATATTTGGAAAAAGCACTACAAAAAAATATGTTAATGGCAATAAAAATACTGCCCCAGAAATTTGCCTATTATTAAAAAAAATCAACCTTATAAAATGTGAAGACCCTTGCTGTATTATAAAATTCTAAAAATCGCAAGTTTTTAAAAACTTTTGATGAGATAAAGGACGGTGGCATTTTTAGTGTTGGAGGAGCGAATCCAAGTTCTCTGGAATCTCAAAACACAAAATGCCAAAAGTTACCACGGTGGGATCCCACTGGCAGGAGAGCCAGAAGACATGACCAAATGGTTACAGAGGAATCTGCTCTAGGACTTCAGAAGCTTCTCAGACACACGGTGCTAAGAAAATTCTTTGGTATCTCATCATGTCCAGAAGGCAAAGAGTTATATCAGAAACTACTTTCCTAGGGTAAAGTTTTGCTTCTGAACCCTTCGGTAATACTACTTTATCTGAAAATCTTGGTGCTTAAATTTCTAAAAATGTGATCCTAACTTTTCGGTGTTTTTTTGTTTTTTCTTTAGGAGGTACAGCAGTTCAAGAAGTTTTTTAAGAGATTGGTATAAAATCAGAATTCAGGTCCCTCCTGAGTATTTGGCAACAACACACCAATCCTGGAGCTTTTGGGAAGTCAAGACATGTGTTTCATCTGCCGCTTACAGCCATATTCATTGACGATAAATTTTTGCCAGCAAGAATGCTTACGGTGTGAGTCGCTGGATCTCAGTGGCCTGGTCAAGACGGCTGTGCGGGTACACAGAAGGATTTGACAAGATTGATTTGACCATGGAAGAACTTCCAGCAGTTTACACAGGCTTGTTCCATAAACTCTATCACAAGGAACTGCCAGACAATTACAAAACTGTGACAGGAATGTGTTAAATTCATATTTATAAGTAGTGGACATTTGGATTAAATATCTGACTTTAATTTTCTAAGGTCTATGACTTTCGTGAAGAAAACTTGTGTGTGCACATTTTAAAAATCTCTTTTCAAATGAAGCAAACGTATGAAAAGAGTGTAGCTCTAAGTAAGCTTCACTGGATAACGGCAAATGCTATATAAAAAATGGAAATCTATACATTTTCCAGGAATTTTTAAAATTACGGCAAAGATTAAATATTTTACTATCAAAGGTTATCTGGCCAGTTATCCAAACTGAGCAGATAGCTGTACACATTTTTCTCCTTTCATTAACAACTTTCTAAATATACCTCTTCTTTCACATGAAATGATCGGAGGCTGCCATTAAGATCAGCTCTTAGCAGACACTGGAAGAAAAAGTGTAACTTTCTGCCCAGGTCCTGGTTTGGGTCCAAGTGTGCACCGCCCGGTTCGTTTCAGTGCCACATGCCAACTGGAGAACTTCCTTGACCGGTGAGTATTGTAGTTACTAGATTCCAATGGTTCGAAAAAGAAACTCTGGTCTGTAACACATTTAGAAGCCGGGGATCTTCACAGCAAGGCTTGCACACGCTCCTTGATAGACGCCACCCCTCTCTCTTCTGCTGGAAGCTGTAGTTTGATGTGAGGGCC